TTGCCACATAGCTCTTGCATTTTTTGTGGATAAAATACATGTACTGTAATCACTGGTTAGCAATGTGCCTCCATTTTGACGGCTAGGCTTGTGCCATCTTATTCACATCCTAGTCATAAAACTGTGAGATGCAAGCTAGTGTACACACTCAAAAGAGCACTAAGATAAGATGCCTTCTTACAGGAGATGCTGCACATACAAAATAGTGTTGGGAATAAAGAAAGGGGGAGAGGGGGTTGAGAAACAGCCCAAACTTACACTATAATTAAGTTTAATTATATACTAAATTAGGATATACAAAACTAGAGAGAGAGAAGCTCCCACCAAATTTGTAGTGGTTGTGGGGTAATACAGGGCCTAACCCAGAGAAAAGAGAAAATAGAGAGGGCTTGAAACTGGTCTGCAAAGAGGCACACCCGACTCCAGTCCTATAACCCTAATGGAAATTACTGAGTAAAGGTAATTAGCATGTAGTACCTAATATACATATGCATAGAAAACAAAAAACTTTATTGTCCAATATTGGATAAACACATCTAAATATCCCAGACACCAAAAAAAGTGAAAAAATAATAATAATGAAAAAAAGATGATAGTAAGTATAAAAATAGGACCAACTGCTGGAGCTGATGTGCACAAAGAGTACTAATAGCCAGATAGTGATACTGATGAAGTGGAAACAGTATCTAAGGGGAGATATACAGTGTATACATAGGTAGATACAATAAGGTAACCCTAGTTGTACTGGCCAAGTGATAACAGAATGGGCATATCTTATAACTAGTCAAGCTCAAAGTAATGTAAATCTGTCTGTGTGGCTCTAAGTACAGCAGGATCAAATAGGTATATGGCTTGTCAGAGAGTGTCTGGGAAGTCCACAGCAGACCTCAGATGAAATAGAGTCATGATTGGTAAAAACTGACAGTGGATAACATAAGAAATTGCTCTCCCCTATTATGATAGTCTCTTATAGCACCTAAATGTAGGTAACTGAGCACACAATTGTATCCTGATAGATTCAGGGCATAAGTATCGAAAAGTAGAAAACAAAAAATGGCTTGAATAAATCTATATAGTGTAAAGTATATAAAATCTGAAGTAGATATTTAGTAGATAACACCCCATAAAACAGGTACTAGGCTTAATTGGCAGATAAGGGATAGCGTCCAGTATACTACTGAAAATCCCTAAATGGACTCTTAAGCTAAATAGTGCACTAATAAATCTCTGGGTCACAGGATAGATTATTCAGTACTGTGAAAAAGTCCCTGGGAAAAAGAGCCCGCTAGAATGGAAAGATCAACTGAATGCTTATCATACTTGTAGGTATGCTGTGCTAAGCTTAAGGAGTAGATAACAACTGAACAACTGAGTGCTTATCATGCTTGTAGTATCTGGTATCACTTAGGTGTGCTGTGCTTCAACTGGAGGAGTAGTGAACTGCCTATCGAGAGCTAGATAGACCCATATCTGAGAAAGACCCAGAACCGTAGGCTAAAAGCAGCTGCAGAGCAGTATAAATTTAAAAACCCACAGAAGTGTGGAGTCTACCTTATGTAGACTATCATCTTTTTTTTCATTATTATAATTTTTTCACTTTTTTTGGTGTCTGGGATATTTAGATGTGTTTATCCAGTATTGGACAATAAGTTTTTTTTTATTTTCAATGCATATGTATATTAGGCACTATATGCCAATTACCTTTACTCAGTAAATTCCATTAGGGTAATAGGACTGGAATTGGGTGTGCCTCTTTGCAGACCTGTTTCAAGCCCTCTCTATTATATACTAAAATAACACTTTTTAAAGATTTTTTTATATATTCAAAATAGTAATTCGAATAGATTTTTTATTATTAAATTCTAACACTAGATGCATGTATTAAAGATAAAAGATAAAAACCCCATATATTTACACTATATAAGGCATATTCCTGTCAAGCAATTAATTAAAATCATGAGGGAATCTATGTTTAATGGAGGTTTCTATAAGACCCCATTGTAAGACTGGGTTAAAACTCGGGGCATCTATGCCAGCTACTTAAAATTACGATAAGATTTGATGCCTCTTTGTCTGTTAAAACTAACAAAAAAATCATTTGATCTGACATTATCTCCGTAATTTAGATAGCCATAAAAATACTAGCTGTGATGTAAAATGTGTCATTGATAGTAATTAACCCCTTAGGACAAAATAGTAATTGGAATTGATAATGAAAATAACAATGTAACGATTACTCAATCTATTGGTCATAACCCATAAAATTGATCACTAGGACGAGGCCAGCACTCATAATAGTGTATGCCCATCTGATTCCATTGATCAATTTAAAAAGTTGACAGGAAATTTACAGATTAGATATTTCTTTAAAAGTAAGAACACCCTGCATGAGGAGATACATACATTCTTGGGAATAGATGCTTAACACTTTTGAAGACACACCTTTTACCTCAGGAATTCTTGGGACACTGAAAATATCTTTGTTAGCCAGAGCACTTCTGTACTTAGAAAATTTATCTTTCACTTGGATTCCATCTTCTATATCTTTAATACTCTTACTCATACATTCATTGGATTATCTCCAACAATATAACCTCTACAATATGAGTTAATTAAATTTTTACTAAAACATAAATATACCTGGATAATGATGATCAGATTTAAAAATGTTAAAATAATAATTAGCTAAAGGGAATAATATAATTCTGGATTTAAAATTTCAGCTGAAATTAGTAATTATATGAATTTGCTGGTAATTTGCCAAGTTTAGCATATCAAGCTATTATCCAGAGATATTAGACACTTCCTTAATAATTCAGGGATAAGTATTTATATTGTTACCAGATACTAGGAGACTGCAATGAGTTGTAGCATAATTGTTAGGTAACTGCAGTAAAGCGATTTTAAGACTAAGGATTTTCATATGGATAGTGGATGGTCAAGAATAATTAATTTGACTATGTGCGTGAGATAAAACATTGCATTTTGTTTGCAATGGTTAATGTGTTTACTCTGTGAGAATTTAGCCAGCTGTGAATGTAACTGTGTGAATGTAACTGCTAGTATCCGTTAATGGCTTTGTACTGCTTTCTGTGGTAATTTTTCTCATCTATGTTAAAACAATATCAGTTGTGGTGATTTACAAAGTTGCATGCATATAATTTCCTTTGAATTTAATTTTGACATTGTTGAATACTGTTACTAATAGCCTATTGATTATTCATGTGTATAAAAATCTGTACTGTTACTTGCTAGTACGCTGTATATATTTTAAATTCTTCACATATATTTATTAAATCTTTTTACATAATTAAGCGATTTTATCAATTACAATTTGAAATGCAAGCCTTATATTTAACCTTGTAACTTCCAAAACACTATAAAGGTACTTTTTACTCGGGAGACTTCACTGAAACCAAATATGAGTGTTAAAACAGTACAACACATCATCATGATGATGATGATGATAACATCAGTAGTGATGTCCCGAACGGTTCGCTGCGGACGGCGAACATATGACCATGTACCTCACAGTCAGCAGACACATTCCAGCCAATCAGCAGCAGACCCTCCCTCCCAGACCCTCCCACCTCCTGGACAGCTCACTAAGAATGCAGCTTCAAAATGGATGCTGTCCAGGATGTGGGAGGGTCTGGGAGAGAGGGTCTGCTGCTGATTGGCTGGAATGTGTCTGCTGACTGTGAGGTACAGGGTCATATGTTCGCCGTCTGTGGCGAACTGTTCGTGACATCACTAATCATCAGTGAAAGTGCAGTTTTTGTGTAAATAAAACAAAACAAATATGAACCCTAACTTGGCCAGGATTTGTGACTAAGTGACAACTAAAAAAGACTGGACATATACCATTTTAATTACACTGGGTTGTCTACTTTTTCAAATGGTATGCCATGATGGGGATAATTCTCAATCCTTGACTGCCATACAGTCTCAAAGAAAACATAACCAATCCTGCAAATTTCAATGTGTAAAAACTGAAAAGGGGAAAGCCCTATATTTTATCCTCTAAGCTTCCAAAACCCTATAAAACAAGTAAATGGGCATACTGTTGCACTTATGAGACATCGCTGAACAAAAATATGTGTATTTTATTGCAGTTAAAGCTAACAGTATTATGACATTCACAGTTAAAATGCCACGCAGAACTTAAAAAACATTTCTTAATTTCTCAAATTTTTCATTTTATTCATATTAAATTATGTTTCGTATATAAATATTTGATGTGAAATAAAAGCTTTGTTTCTCCTGAACAAAATTATATATAATAAGTGTGTGTGCACTTAATATGAAAGAGGTAATTTATGGTTGAACAGACGTATAGCTCAAATTCCAGGTATGTTTTTTTTTTTTAAATTCTTTATTTTTGTTGTACATAGCAGTGACATACGCCACAACAGCGTGTCTAAGAATGTACTTAAATGGAACAGTGGCATGAGGAATTGCACATTTTTGTATAATTGTAACAATCATCAGCTTGGCTAAACAGTGAAGTAATTAATATAGAATGAAAAGGTAGCTTATTTTAACAATCAGAACAGAAAATAACCTCGCTAGTGTTTCATGTTAGCTAGTTTTGAGTGACATAGAATAACGTATGAATCATTGATTCAGGCTAGTTCTAGCTATTATACAAGGGTGGATAACATATGATTAGTTTACTGTCAGCACTAAAGTGTAGTAGTAACAGGCTGAGTGTATGTGCTTATTGGCTACGTGCCATATATAGGCGATATTATGAAACAAGGGAGGCTATCAAGTGCTTCATTAATTAACCCTGTAGTGTGAAGGCAAGTCTCCCCTTTAAACAATAGGTGTGTGCTACGCTGAAGGTTAAGCTTATCATACTGTTGCAGTTAATCAAGTTCAGATGGGTGTCAGGTGGCAGGTGTTAAGATGCTGTGTTTCGGAATCAGTCCAGGCGACAAGCAATTAACCACCTAAGAGAGTGTTGGTTGGTTTGCCTGCAGGGTGCCCAGAGTAGTTCAGCCAATGCCTATCGGGTACTGGGTACAGTCCAGGAGTGAGTGGTAGTCCTGCATGGCAAAGCTCCTAGGCACTGGCAGGTAGGTCGGTTCCTCGATTGCTTTTGCAGGAGTCCCTTTCCACTTTTCCGGCTGTAGTTGTGACCTTTGCTGGGTTGCTCGCTGGGGTCTCGTTGTGCATCTCGTCGCACCGCGGTATCGGCTGGCTGGGTGTCGAACCGCTCTTCGCCCCCCCAGTTGGTCCCACGGTTTACAGCGTTTTACGGTAGTTGGGTTATGAACCTTCTTGCGGGTATTGACGTCGGAAGCGTGGGGTGTACTTTGCGGGGTAGGCCTCTCGCTCTGTCTTGTGGCCGACATATGCTTGCGTGCAAGGCCGGTCTCTGCTTGTCTCCTCGGCTTGGTCTGTTTTATTGGCAGGCCTTCGCTTTTGTGTTGGCGCCCAGTTCTTGCTTTCTTTTCTCTGTGAGAATTGCTTTGAAGGCAGGAGCGTGCGGGTGGCAGTGTCGGCTTTTGCTCTTTTGGGACTCGCTTTAGGGCTTGATATGTGTCTAGTTTTTCCCAGAAGGCTTCAAAGATGGCATTCAGCCTTGCCTCTGTGTCATCCCTGGGAAATGTGTCGGGTCGTCCATTTGCTGTTGCCGCCATTTTGATATTCGCTAACTCGGTCTGCCTGCGCCGTCCCTTGTATCGCATGGGCGCTCCTGGGACCGGGATAACCCCCGGGTGACGAGGGCTTATGTGCCCGTTGCCAGCTTTGGAGGGCTGCGGGGGACCGGCCGCCTCCCCCATGCTGCACTTGCTTGTAGGCTGCAGGTGTCCCTCCTCTGTGTCTCGCCAGTTGGGTCGTTCATTTGGTGTCTGCTGGTGCCCCATGGGGTCACCTCTCCGCATGTGGCACTTTTATGTCAGCTATCCGCCGTTATTGGTCTGATTTAGCGTGTTTTCTGGCAAGCAGAGCAGGAGCAACTCTATCCTGCGACCGTTCGCCTCTGCGGTCAGGCCCCGCCCCCCCCAGGTATGTTTTGATCAGAACTTGTACAATTGCCTCCGTCCTTAAGGGGTTAGAAAATTTTAAATAAAAATAAACATTGGCGCAAACTATTTGAAAGCTTGGAATCTCTGAATTCATTAAACTGCCAGAACTGGCATATAAAATATGTCCCTCATTGAGGGATAAACTCCCAGTTAGTGAGCCTACAGCTGGCACACAAAGAAAAGGTAATTAACTATGTGTTAATTGTGTTGCATGTCACTCCATGATTTTACCTTAATGGTAAAAAATACTTAATGTGTGACATGCCATACAAGTTTTGTTGTATACATTTTGAAATGTCCCTGTGGGTTACTAAATGTTAGACAGACATTAAAGACATTTTCAAAATACAAATCTACTATTCACACAGGTGCAACAGAATTACCTACATCAGCTCACTTCTAGGAATTTATACACAATTTATCACAATTAAAATTCCAGATTATCGATCATTTTCTAGAAAATAAAGTCAGTTGATAGGAGTAAACAGGTTTGATAGGAGTAAAAAATTACTAGATAGGAGGTATTCCTGATTAAATAATTCGATACTCTAAGACAAGCATGTCAAACTCAAAGTCTGGATCGGGCCACATAAACAAGGTTTATGTTTATGTGGGCTGCAAAAAAAAAAAATACCGTAAATTTTCATAGAAACTTAGGTTTATTTTAAAAAGTACAGTATAACCTCCCCAAGCATCCCCCTCTACTAAACCACACCACCCTGTGCCAAATCTGATCCTCCCGCTGACACACACACATATTCACTGACAGACACACACATACAGACACACTGACACACACACATACTCACTGACACACACTCACAGACAGACAGACACATAAACACACACACATACTCACTGACAGAGACACACACACACACACACACTCACTGACAGACACACATATTTGCTGACAGACAGACACACACTGACAGACACACAAACACACATACTCACTGACATACACACACACTCTGACAGACACACACATACTCACTGAAAGAGACACACACTGACAGACACACACATACTCACAGACAAACACACAGACATACACTCACACATTCTTGTACACACTTTTTTTTATTGCTCCTTACCTTAAGGAGCCGATGTGGGGCATCTCCCTGGGATCCTTCCTGCTCCTCATTGCCCCCTTGGCGCGGTTTAGTGATGCCGGGTGCCGGAATATGACGTCATATTCTGGCGCCCAGCTTTACTTCGGATGGTGTGAGGGAGAAGTGAGGAGCAGGTACACTGAGCTCCCTGGCTGGCCACCAGCATCCTGCTTCCTCCCCGGGCCGAGTAAGTGTTAGCAGAGTAGGCACCAGCAATATTGGGAAAGCAGGTGCCTACTCTGCTATAACACTGAGCATGTACTCGCGGCTCGGCTGGCCGCAAAGACGGTGCTTGTGGGCCTCATGCGGCCCGCGAGTTTGAAATGCTTGACCTTAGGGCTTATATGTTGACAATGACCTTACACCATTACTCTGAGTAACTTTGTTTTTAATTTTGACTATATTTGTATTTTAGCAATAATTATTTTGTTGTTTTTCTTGTTGCAAATGTTCTTAAATTATTTATGGGTCTGGAATACCTTGAAACCCAGACTCAGTTCATTTCTTCAATACACTTTGGAAAAATACAAAAAAATACATAGTGGCACTTTTATTAAATATTCTAGTAACCATGCACTCCTTGAACTTTTTCATTATGAATTGTTATCATTTAATAATAATCATTGATTCATTCTGAGTAGTACTTAGTATATTTCACTTTTCACAGCATGCCATATGGTCCCAGATGGCGCCGCCAGATGACAGATCCTCCTGCTCATCAGAGAATTTCACCACGGACCTGGAGGTAGAAACATCCCTTACTAAAACCCCAGAGGGATATCTGCCTCACCCATTAATAACTAGGAGCCAGTTACTGCCGCACTTCTCAAAACTGTGCTGGGAGAATTGGGTGCAAATATTGCTGAAGATATCTCCCAATTTAAGGCAAACATAGAACATACCAACACAAGACTCACTCAGTTGGAAGCAACAACCGGTGCCCAAGACACTAAACTGACCAATATGGAGCAGAGGCTGGACAATATAAAGCAGGCTCAGCGGGACATAGAGGCTCGAATAGAAACGCTTAAAAACTATAGGCAATGCTACAACCTGAAAATGTGAGGAGCTGCCACACTACCTCAGGAGGCTTTTTATAGTACAAATGCCACCCAAGCAGGCAAAAGGCATGAAAATAGATGGTATATTCCGAAGTCCCTGACTGACCCAGCGACCGCAACGGCTGACTTAATCGTTTGCTTCCAATCTACTCAAGACAGGGCCCTCTTCCACATGGCCATAAGGAGAAAACACCTTTCCAGTTCGAGGGCTCACTCATCTATGTCTACCCCGACCTCACTGGGTCTGGAACAACAGACGCACGTTTGACCAACCTAGATCCCTCCAAAATCTGATATTCACCCCTAGGGTACCCAAGGAACACTCCACCACTGTTGTGGTCACTTTACTGTCACCTAAGCCACTGCCCCATGGCAGTGAAAGCAGGCCTCATCCAACCTAAGGGCTGTCTAAAGCCCATGGTGAAAGCAAATTTGTATGTTTCCTATTTTGCAGTTTTCCTTTTATTTCTTAATGGTTTCGTTGCTAGTGTTATATTTTTATTTTTCAGTTTTACACTATGACCCTCTGGGTTGCAACTCAGAACTCTAAAATGGACGCTTTCCAGTCATGAACCTACCCAGGTTCCCTCGCAGCCACAACACACAAAGCATTTCACTTCCCTTTCCGTTATATGGCCTATATAGGCACTTTGCAGAGGGTTTGATCCTCCTCCCCCCCACCCACATTCCATCTGCCAGTAACGTTTATTTTTCTCTTGACCATAAAGGTAGGAATCGATCCTCATGGGGAAAGGTAACTGCCCCAAGGAGTCCACTAGATGAGCCTTTTTCGATGGCTTCAATTCGATATAATTAACAAAAACCCTCTCTTCACGAGTTATAACTATGAGAGACAATACCGAATATGATATTATTGTGTCATGCTCTTGAATATGCTGTGTTCCATACTTCCTGGTGTGGGATCCATTTGAGTATTGATTGCAATTCTGTATTAATTTAACAATTTGAATAACATTTATATTTTAATTGCAATAGGTTTTTGTGACAAGCTTGTCTTTGATTAAATTGGATCTCAGCCTATTAGGTTCAGCCAACTGAATCTTGATGCATTTCATTCAACTAATTAAACAAGTGTATGCTTACAATTTCACATGCATCTATGGTTAACCATGTGCCCTATATATATGGATTGTGTTTATTGTGATAAATTAATAAAAGAAGCAGAGGAATAAAGTGGTTTAAATGATGTTCTAATTACCCTGTGTGAAGTCATTCAATAAATACATATTTAAGTGGGCAAACCAATAAAACAATGTTGGGTGAGGGCACACACAGTGACATTACTAAGCTCTTGGATACAATATTAAACAATAGACCATAGTGTAGTACATCTCAATTTAGAATATATATGGTTATTCTCTCACATCCAACTCACATGTAGTTCTTGTTGGAAGATTGGAAAATGCTTTCTTCTGCTTGACATTATATATAATATGTATCATCCATGTATTTGTATGTTCATACAACACATTTTTCGTTCTTACTAAAACTTGTGGGCATATGTCACTTCTGAAACTCTTTGGGAATTATTCTGTTCTGAAAATTATAAAAGTTATGGTAGCTTTATTAAATTGCTTTAATGATATATTAATCTATGGATAATCTATAAATCTAAATCTTACAGTTGATTCCCTGATAATCAATTAAAGAAAGATCTTATCACTATTAATTTCTGTAGAAAACAAAACCATAAAAATGGTTATGTAATCAACAAGAATTTTTAGAATTACAATTTATAATATCATTAGCTTCTTAAATGTATAATATATTCCCAGATTTTTATAACGTTTTAATAACTTTAATATTTAATATATGTGACCAGCATTCCAGCACCATTTTTGATTCCTTTTTACAATCTACTTAGTTTTTACAACTTATTTAAAGCATGTTTTTAGATACTTTTAGAGATATCCATCTGATACCTATGTACTAGTTTGCAAGATATGTAATTAATTTTATTTATTTCATTTATACTAATTCTGGTCACATAACTATTTCCTTCAAAAATAGCCCTTCAAAATTTCTGTTACTTTTTAACTTTGTTATTTTACCTATTGTATTACATTTAAACAGAGAGAGATATTATATTGAAGATTCCTGGACCATCTTGTTTTATTCTTAACAC